AAACTAAACCATGTTGAGTTTCATAAACACAGATGTTATCCATAATGTCCATCATGTGCACCTCCTCCCAGGGCCCCATTGAGAGCATCATCACTGGCTGCATCACCGTGTGGTATGGAGGCTGCACTGCCTTCTGCAGAAGGACCTTGCAACGCATAGTGAAAACAGCCAGCAAGATCATCGGTGCCCCTCTGCCTTCCCTTACGGATATTGTTAACATGCGCCTCACCCGTAGAGCCATCAGCATTGCTGATGACATCTTCCACCCCACACACTCCCACTTCAGACTCCTGACTTCAGGGAGAAGGTATCAGAGTCTTCAGGCCCACTCCACCAGACTTACAAACAGCTTCATCCACCAGGCTGTGAGGATGCTGAATGCTGTCCATTATCTCCCCCTAGACAATAACCCACCACAGAAACAAAAACAAACAAAAAAAAAAAACTACCTCTGCTGTTTTACCGTCTGTTATATTATATGTAAATCTTGTCCCTGGTAGGCTAGTGGTTAAGGCGCAGCGCTCTCGCCGCTGCGGCCTGGGTTTGAGTCAGGGTTGCGTCAGGAAGGGCATCTAGCGTAAAACACATGCCAAATGTCAACATGCGAGTCGTCAGTGTGACGATTCGCTGTGGCGACCCCTAAACGAGAAAAGCCGAAAGTAACTTTCATTATATTTAAATCTGCTGCTGCTGGTCATTTGCAGTACTGTCCATGTATACTTCATATGCTATTTGCACCTCATCACCAACACCCCGGTGATGCTGAACCATCTGACAATCTCCTATTATTGTTTGCACTACTGCCACTGACTGTACACGGATTTGAGTCACAGCTTATTGGCTGTTTAGATTTATCCTAATTACGTAAATCCAGTTCTTATTCTATTCTATTCTATTTTTATTCAACTTTAGTTCCTAAATGTTATGGCACCCAATACTAGGTGAGAGAGAAACAGTATTTCAATTTTCTGTATGTGCTGCACATATGGTGAATTGACAATAAAATCATTGAACCTTGAAAACCAACACTGTTTACAAAGGAGGCCTGTGATGCATATTAAAATGAAAGGGGCAACCTTTTAGTTTGCTTTTGGACAAAACAGAAATTCCAGTCACCAGATGTCACGATTAAATTAAAAACAAGAACCTAAAGACCAATTTTCCACAAATTAACTTGTATCTGAAAAGGAATAATATGCATTGTGTACAAACAGAGGAAAAGAGGCTCAGGAATCCCAACACAACCTTAGGATTAAACTGATAAAACCAAAACATTTGTTACACAAAAGTGTTGACTTCTCTCTAATTTTAAATACTGGCGCCTCATCCCGGCCTCTAAAATCCGACAAATGAAACGATCAAGTTAACCCACAGCCGCCGACACTCACAGTCTGCCCCTGAGTGACTTTGAGGCTACAGAGACCAAAACTAAATCTGCTTCACAGATTTTTGGTTTTGATGTGCAGAGTGCATAACTACCGATGCACAGACTGGGAACAGAATAAACGTTTTAGAAAACAACGAAGCACAGGAGCAAAAGGAGCTTTAAGGGGACATGGGAAAGTCTGTCCAAACCTTTGACTCGGTCTATTACACAACCCATTTCCTGGAAGAGCTGCACCCTGGGACGGCTGTCGGCTGAGGAACGTCAGATCTCATCATCTAATAAAGTGCTTATGGGATAAGAGCATATAGAAAATAGGCCTGAGTTAAGGTTCTTTTTAAAAACATAAGGCGAGTGCCCCTGAGTCTAAGTAGCCAAGGCATTAATTTACGTGATGCGAGTACCACGTTAGTCAAACACCAGCACGGTATTCCTCCACCCCCTTCTTTAATCCTTCTCCATTCTGTTCTCCAAACTACTCATGAGATCACATTACAAGTCTCCTCTCGCCCCAAATCCCTGGGTTTGTCACTGATTGAGGTATAGATTTCTATAAAAGGTCAAACATCATTAGTGGGGGACTGAGGAGCCAGTTAACTAGGTGTGACTCACACCCTTTAATACAACTGCTGAGCACAGAACAGGCAGGCTACTCTGCCTTGGACCCTTTGGCCCCAGAGGATCCTCTGAGGTAGCTGTTGTAGAAGAAGATGGTAAACAGGACAAAGTAGCTGAGGTACATGATAGAGCCCCATTTGACATTGTCAATGCTGGAAGGACAGTGCACCTCATGCATCCAGCGGTACACCAAGCCCAGGACCACCAGCCCCATCACCATCTGCATGATCTGGAAGGCTGTGACGATCATGGCACAGGGGCGGGGCACCCGCAGGCCGGCTGCCCGGGCTGTGTAGTAGGTGTACATGAAAGAGTGAACCACATAGTTGATGGTAATGAACCAGATCCCACCTGCCACGTGGTCCTTGTAGGTGTACCAGGAGTAGAGCAGCACGGTGATGTGGTGGTACCAATGCAGGAAGATGAGGCGCTGCTTCCGCAGGATGACGAACATAGTGTCACCTGACAGATGGTGGAGAGGAAATCAGATCCTTTTGATACTGTCAAACTAAGGTTTAGGTGAACACAGGTACTGTACTGCAGCCAAAATACAGAAATCTGACAGGTGTGTTCTTTCATGCTAAAATCCTCTGCTTTTTGAGGTTTCCTGTAATTCATACAAATAATTTCCTGAGCCATTTGAATTACAAGCCTTTGAGCCTCAATCCTTCACTTTAATATAAAGATTGTAAAAGATAAATTATGGTTTTATTTAACTTCATTTATACCCAACCTTTTCTTTGTACATTTAGTTTTCTTTTTAACCTACACAGCTACAAATCACCCAGCCATTAGCAGTTCAGAAGCTACTGTGTGTGTTAGCTTGCAGGACAAATGGGGAACCTTACCCAGCTCGGGGACCTTGCTAACAGCAAAGGCGAAGGCCCAGAATTTGCTGACGGGGGTGGTGTAGAAACGGGTGTCGCACACAGTATGTCTGAAGCCGCGGGTTGTGAGGATGCGCAGCATGTAGAGTCCAGTCCTGGATGCTCCCATGATGCTGCAGAGTGAACACACACAATGCAAACACCTTACTCATGTCCAGTATTGTCCATTTATGGTCTTTTTATGGTGGCCGGGAAAATATAGAAGTCACTACACGTCTCCTAATGTGGCTATGTAATTCATAAAGGCACGTCAAAGTGAACTATACAACATAAACAACAAGTTAGTAAAAGTCCTCCAGAACAAGTGTTTTGGGAGCAGCACATCCAGGATGACGAGACAACAAAGTGGTGTAGCTGCTACTGGTGTGTGTTTTCACTCCCCCGCAACACTTCAGCAACGCATACCAAGTGTAGATATGTCTGGTTTTCATTCTGTGAAAGCTTAGGCCTTTGCTCAGTGTACACAGCACACAGCTCTGAATGTGTGAACGTGCTCTACAGTTGTTCAGCAGCAGTGGCCCAGCTCCTGTAGCGCACCAGCGACTCACCTGAAGATAGCCAGGCTGAATGACCACAGCACCATCAGCCATCGCAGGTTCAGTTTGGGCCTTTCCCTCATGTAGTGCTGACCTCCAAATACCAACACAACGTAGAGGCCACAGAACGCAAACGACGTGGTCCTGTGGATGACACAACACAGCACCGTACTGAATAAAGCAGAGCCAACTGTATTAGTCCACTGTCTCCATCCTCACGTTAGCCTGAAGATTAACAGCTCCTCACACTGTACCGCCTCAGTGCATTAGAAAACAGGTACGGAGCAAATAACAGGAGTGTTTTAAATCATTCTTAAGGAAAATGTCTGAAGCTTTTCATGCTCAGTGTGTATTGACAGTAAATGTCAGAATGTAGTTTGTGCTGCTGCTGTAATAGACTGTACTACACTGTGAGGTGCTCCTGTTAAAACAAAAAAAAAAAACTAGGATGAGCTTGTCAGTTAAACACAGGACAGGTGGTCTGATTTCAACTTAGGACTGTGTAAAATGTAAAAAAAACAAACAAACAAACAAAAAACATCACACAGAAAGCTGTGGAGTTTTTCACAAGGAGTGCAGGATGTCCAGCGCCAACTTTGGGGAACTTTTAGTGTTAAATGTTTTGTGTGATTGTATGAATGATGAGAAAACATTTCCTAAGATAATAGTGTTTTAGAGTCAGTATTGAATGTCATGAACTGCAATAAGCTCCGCCGTCCCCAAGTCCAACGTGTACTTTGACCTCTCAGGTGACAGAAAGAGGAAGAAGACAAACAGACCAACTGCACCTTTAAATCACCTCATCAGACCTGAAACACATGACTGTACAGATGTGGCGCTGTTATGTACGGGCATTACACAATCAGGGTGTGAATGCACCAGACAACTGTTGTTACACACAAATGAAACATGATTTGGCTGTCTGCTTGCCAGGGTTGTCGTCCTGCCAACATGACGTGTGTGTCATGATTTTTATAAAGCCATCCTTCATACCTGACACTGGCCTTGGACCCGTCCTCATTTAAAACGATAGGGGAGGATTAGTGGAGTGTTGGACACGCTGGCCAATCAGACGGCCAGTCACTGAGCACTGCTCTGATTGAGGAATTTGTGAAATGTGGCGTGATCACAAACCGCAAACAAAGAGGGAGGTGAGAGAGGCAGGTGCAGCCAAGCAAACCTGACGGACTGCCAGTCACTGGGCACTGCTCTGCCCTCCTTATCAACAGTTATCACTGATTACAGCTTTAGATGATGACAGAACATAAGAGCTGAGCTGAAGGTGAACTGGTGGAGAAACAGTGACACCACCGTTACAAAGCGCCTACCTGGTTCTGTAAATCTTTACAAAAATAAAAAATGTGAGGCTGATGTGGTTTTGGAATAGACCGGATGACTAATCCAGACTGGTCCCAGTACACGTTAGGACCCAGTTAACACTACAGGGGCTTCTGACAACCAACCAGTCCATCCAAAACCCTGCACCTTAATTTTTACTCCACTATTTATTTAACAACTACGTACTAGTTTTTCCAGACTTTGACCAATAATACAGTATAAGCAACATTAAAAGATGGTGTAGCTGATTATTTTAGATCAAGATAAAATGAGGTTGTAGATTCACAAGCTACAGCAGCATATGAAGTTAAAATGAGCCCCACCTTTACCAGTGTTAGATTTATTTGGAGCTGCAACATTAAGGCTTGTGCCTTTATGGGACATCATACAATCAGCACAAACAGTGGCCAAGTCAGTCTTAATTGTTCATGTATGCAGATTTCTATTTAAATAAACCGTTTGGATTAAAGCATTAATGCAGGTTAGATTAAAGATTTATTTGGAGCTGCAACATTAAGTCCCTATGTCCAATACTTTAAACAGGTAAAACAGGATCCTCCAGTTTCATGAGCGAGTTTGGGCTGGTTCTTCTGAGTTTGCACCTGTGATGCATTAACGCAAGTTAGATTATAAATTAAATTGGAAGGAGAAGAGACCAGTTTATAAAATGTCACTCAGGACATAAAACAGAAACTCACCTCACACCACAGTCAGTCCTGGAAAAAGAGGAGGAGGAGGAAGACCACCTTATTCTCGGGCATTTCTTCAAGTTTCTCTTCTACTCACCAGTTTTCCTGCATCCATTGCAGAGCTCGTCTTTGGTCGAAATGCCGCTCGAAGTCGTACACGGCCGTCACCACCTCACTCCCATTCATCGTTTTAAAGTCAGATTTTCTTCCGCTGAAGCCCGGTCTCTGGAGGTCTATACTGTGACCGTGCACGACACACCTGCTGCTCCGGAGGCTGCTGGTTTCACAATCCAGAGCTTGTGGAGCCAACACAGACACTCCCTCCTCCACCGCGTCACTCACTATAAGGCTGCAGGCTACCTGCATGACAATGCTTTCTGGTTTGGACTTAAACGAGTGTGTCATTGTGGTCTAAAGCTGTAATCACTGGTACTGCCAGTGGTGGAAGAAGTACTCTGATCCTTTACATAAGTATAAGTAACAATACCACAGTGTAAAAATACCCCGTTACAAGTAAAAGTCCTTCATTCAAAATGTTACTTAAAGCAGCTGGAAAGTGAGAAACCGATCACACAAATATGATCAATAGAAATCTTCTGTAAGGTTAAGAAATGAAGAACACACAGCGCCATCTGGTGGACAAATTATGAAGGGGATTCTCAGCTTGTAAAGTCCTATTTTTATGGCTGCAAGAGCTTTAACATCCTGTTTCTAGACAAGTCATTCATTCCTAATTGAATGTAGCATCCTTCAGCCTGATTGACACACTTAATTGAGACTTAATTGCACTTTGCTGTGAAAGTGGAGCAGCCGGTGGGGAACAGATTTGTTACTTAGAGACTTCTGAAAAACTTCTCTGATTAATCACAGTTTCTACTGGCGAGCATTGGCACAGAATCCAAGGACCACTGCTCTGAGAACACACAGCAAAAAATAAAGCAATATATGGGCTGCTGAACAAATAATTGTAGGAATCTCGAGGGGTTTCAGTGCATGAAGGACATGGACACATGTCTAAGATACAGTGCCTTGCGAAAGTATTCGGCCCCCTTGAACTTTGCGACCTTTTGCCACATTTCAGGCTTCAAACATAAAGATATAAAACTGTAATTTTTTGTGAAGAATCAACAACAAGTGGGACACAATCATGAAGTGGAACGAAATTTATTGGATATTTCAAACTTTTTTAACAAATAAAAAACTGAATAATTGGGCGTGCAAAATTATTCAGCCCCTTTACTTTCAGTGCAGCAAACTCTCTCCAGAAGTTCAGTGAGGATCTCTGAATGATCCAATGTTGACCTAAATGACTAATGATGATAAATAGAATCCACCTGTGTGTAATCAAGTCTCCGTATAAATGCACCTGCACTGTGATAGTCTCAGAGGTCTGTTTAAAGCGCAGAGAGCATCATGAAGAACAAGGAACACACCAGGCAGGTCCGAGATACTGTTGTGGAGAAGTTTAAAGCCGGATTTGGATACAAAAAGATTTCCCAAGCTTTAAACATCCCAAGGAGCACTGTGCAAGTGATAATATTGAAATGGAAGGAGTATCAGACCACTGCAAATCTACCAAGACCTGGCCGTCCCTCTAAACTTTCAGCTCATACAAGGAGAAGACTGATCAGAGATGCAGCCAAGAGGCCCATGATCACTCTGGATGAACTGCAGAGATCTACAGCTGAGGTGGGAGACTCTGTCCATAGGACAACAATCAGTCGTATACTGCACAAATCTGGCCTTTATGGAAGAGTGGCAAGAAGAAAGCCATTTCTTAAAGATATCCATAAAAAGTGTCGTTTAAAGTTTGCCACAAGCCACCTGGGAGACACACCAAACATGTGGAAGAAGGTGCTCTGGTCAGATGAAACCAAAATCGAACTTTTTGGCAACAATGCAAAACGTTATGTTTGGCGTAAAAGCAACACAGCTCATCACCCTGAACACACCATCCCCACTGTCAAACATGGTGGTGGCAGCATCGTGGTTTGGGCCTGCTTTTCTTCAGCAGGGACAGGGAAGATGGTTAAAATTGATGGGAAGATGGATGGAGCCAAATACAGGACCATTCTGGAAGGAAACCTGATGGAGTCTGCAAAAGACCTGAGACTGGGACGGAGATTTGTCTTCCAACAAGACAATGATCCAAAACATAAAGCAAAATCTACAATGGAATGGTTCACAAATAAACATATCCAGGTGTTAGAATGGCCAAGTCAAAGTCCAGACCTGAATCCAATCGAGAATCTGTGGAAAGAACTGACAACTGCTGTTCACAAACGCTCTCCATCCAACCTCACTGAGCTTGAGCTGTTTTGCAAGGAGGAATGGGCAAAAATTTCCGTCTCTCGATGTGCAAAACTGATAGAGACATACCCCAAGCGACTTACAGCTGTAATCGGAGCAAAAGGTGGCGCTACAAAGTATTAACTTAAGGGGGCTGAATAATTTTGCACGCCCAGTTTTTCAGTTTTTTATTTGTTAAAAAAGTTTGACATATCCAATAAATTTCGTTCCACTTCATGATTGTGTCCCACTTGTTGTTGATTCTTCACAACAAATTACAGTTTTATATCTTTATGTTTGAAGCCTGAAATGTGGCAAAAGGTCGCAAAGTTCAAGGGGGCCGAATACTTTCGCAAGGCACTGTAGATAACCGTGCTCTCCAATACCTCAGACGGCACCGCATCAAGAATGGTCACTCTTCTAGAAGCGATATAAGCACATGGGCTCAGGATGATTTTGGCACACCTGTGTCAGGCACCACAATATGTAGTTAAATCCATAAATGCAGCTTAAAACTGTGCTGTGCCAAAAGGAAGCCCTATGTCAACAGTCTCCAGAAGTCGACTGCTCTGGGCTCAGAGGCATCTGGGATGGACCATCACACAGGGGAAACATGTGCACTGTGGTCAGACCAATCAGAATTTCAGGCCTGTTTTGGAAGGAATGGATGCTGTGTGCTCCGGACCAAAGTCGAAAAGGACCATCCAGACTGTTACCAGCAACAAGTCCAAAAGCCAGGGCCGGTCATGGTCTGGGGTTGTGTCGGTGCCCTTGGCAAAGGTCACTTATACTTCTGTGATGGCTCCATCCATCCATGGAATACTGCTTACTCCTGGATAGGATCACAGGGGGCTGGAATTTATCCCAGCTGAGACTGTGTGAGAGGAGGGGTATAACCCCAAACATTACTAGATTGTGTTTGGGAAAAGGGAAAAGCACAGTGCACAGATTCGTGTGTGCAGTTTAATATAGGAGATTTCATATCTACATATCCATGGTGTGTGTTTGACTCTTATATTTTTGCTATATTTGAGAGTGCTGCTCCCATTTGGCACCCATTTGGATGGATGAGCAGTCTACGTTGTCTCTGGCAGCACACAAGATTATCACCTTAACTCCACTGCATGATTACTGCTACATAAACCTTTGTGCACTTCCTTAAAACACTTCTGTTGTCAAACTGTTCCGTAACTGTTTACAGTGTACCCATACAAACCCACACTGTCTTCATGGAAATGTCAGACAATATTGGGCCTGTTTCCAATCATGTCATGAGCAAACGTTGATTTCACATTGCTCACGGTGCAACAGCAGGGTACAGTCACCTCGCTGTGGAGGGGCAACTCTTCATCTAACAGCTGGTCAACTTTGTTCAGCTATTCTCTGCGATGTTTAAAATCGGAATCGCAAGCTGCTGCCAATAAGCACACAGCATGGCAGCAGTTCATTCCTCAGCCAGGAGCCAGGAGGTGTGCAGGACAGGCTGCAGGGAGCAGAGCCACAGCAGTCTCCTGTCATCAAGACAGATTCCTTTATTTTTAATGTGACTTAACTGATTGTGAGTGTGCAGGTCAGCTGTTATCAGAGAGAGATTTATTACTCTGTGGAGCTGCTGTTGTGTCCTAAATGACAGATGTGGAACAGTAGCCATGAGAAAAACCTTCTCAAAAATGCATTTAATAAGACTATCATTCATCAGAAGCACTTAACACTTGTGATGAAGAACCTTCATTTACAAAGATTAAGTTCTGTACAAACTAAAGACAAACCACCACTGAGCATCTAAAAAGAAAACATATATATAAAAAATACATCATGATACATACTGGATGTCACAATAGAAACACGTTACCTCAAATGTCTCCAGCTTTTATCTCTTAACATTAAAGATGCAAAAACTGATAAGATCAGTTTTTCTGCAGATGTAAGGATGAAACTAAATGAAGCCAATGGCACTTCCTCCTACACTAACATCTACCACTTAAGATCTGCTGGAAAATGTCAGATAGTAAGAAAATCAATACCTTTTGCTTATTTACAATTTTTGGACATCCTCCGTATCTTCTGTCATCAGAGCTCAGCACAAATAATCACTTCAGTGCCGTTAATATTTCACAGTCAGCACCTCAGAAGCCAACAACTAAACATGCAGAACTTTGTTTTCCGTGTGATGTAGAATTTGAGTCCACAGTAGTTAAATTACAACAGGAATCTACAGTGTGTCGTCTTAAATTTCTCCAGATAAACTGTATTACAGCTGGAAAACCAACACTGTTTACAAAGGAGGCCTGTGATGCATATTAAAATGAAAGGTCAACCTTTTATTTTGCTTTTTGACAAAACAGAAATTCCAGGATGTCATGATTTAAAAGTCATGAAATTAAAAACAGAAGCATTTTTCCACAAATTAACTTGTATCTGAAAAGGAATAATGTGCATTGTGTACAAACAGTGGTTTCCAAAGAAGCTCAGAAATCCCAACACAACCTTGAGGGTTTACATTAGGATTAAACTGATAAAACCAAAACATTTGTTACACAAAAGTGTTGACTTCTCTCTAATTTTAAATACTGGCGCCTCATCCCGGCCTCTAAAATCCGACAAATGAAACGATCAAGTTAACCCACAGCCGCCGACACTCACAGTCTGCCCCTGAGTGACTTTGAGGCTACAGAGACCAAAACTAAATCTGCTTCACAGATTTTTGGTTTTGATGTGCAGAGTGCATAACTACCGATGCACAGACTGGGAACAGAATAAACGTTTTAGAAAACAACGAAGCACAGGAGCAAAAGGAGCTTTAAGGGGACATGGGAAAGTCTGTCCAAACCTTTGACTCGGTCTATTACACAACCCATTTCCTGGAAGAGCTGCACCCTGGGACGGCTGTCGGCTGAGGAACGTCAGATCTCATCATCTAATAAAGTGCTTATGGGATAAGAGCATATAGAAAATAGGCCTGAGTTAAGGTTCTTTTTAAAAACATAAGGCGAGTGCCCCTGAGTCTAAGTAGCCAAGGCATTAATTTACGTGATGCGAGTACCACGTTAGTCAAACACCAGCACGGTATTCCTCCACCCCCTTATTTAATCCTTCTCCATTCTGTTCTCCAAACTACTCATGAGATCACATTACAAGTCTCCTCTCGCCCCAAATCCCTGGGTTTGTCACTGATTGAGGTATAGATTTCTATAAAAGGTCAAACATCATTAGTGGGGGACTGAGGAGCCAGTTAACTAGGTGTGACTCACACCCTTTAATACAACTGCTGAGCACAGAACAGGCAGGCTACTCTGCCTTGGAC